AGCATACAGCAAGGCAACCCTTCCACATACACTACCTTAGATATTTCTCATCTACCTAGGAGGTGAAGTAGAGAAATACTATTATTACATCCAACTAACACACAGGGAGACAGAAATTTAAAAGAAATTAAGGGACTTGCCCATTATTACATTTTAATTGTTGGAGGTCTGTTAAAATTCCATAGCTTAGACCCTTAGCCTCTACTATAGTACCACTGAAGAGACTGTTATGAGAGCCTCTGGATGGGAGATGGGTCATATACAGAATATTCTCCTCCATTCATTATATGCTGCAGGCATTATAGCTGCATTACCATTCGTATATCCAAGGTTGGAAATGGCATTTGATAAGCTTCTACAGAGCTAGAAAGCCCAGCAGGACACAGGTGCATGTGAGGTGTAGCTTCTGAGATTTCCTGGACCTGGCTAGTTGGCACAATTGGTATCACATCAGTTTTTCAAGAAGCTCCCACTTGCAGTCTCAATGCTGAGACAAAATATGAATACAGCCCATTTTCTCAAACTTCATCTACGTCCCTGCATTTCTTGATGTGTAGTCTCACTCCCTAGCTGAGACTATTGGGTTAAGGTAGGAATAAACAGTATGTTGGATGGGTGAAGAGGGGAAGGTGGATGTGGGAGAAGAGGGGACAAAAGTCTGTGAGTAAAATACCTTGAGGTAATAATTTTCCTGGTGTTTTATCTCTCCATCTCAGAAAATTCACTCCTTAAATATGCACCAAGAGGACTTATACTTCTAGGAAGATGGAGTAGACATCTTTTTTCCTTTTCCTCCCACTAAATATAGCTAAAAACCCTGGACATTATGTATAAAACAAACATGATTCTGAAAGGTAGAAAGAAGGCACAACAGCAGGGTACCTCAAGAGCAAAGGAAAACAAAGTAGTGTGTTTGCTGTTTTTTTTTTTTTTTTTCTTCCTGTTTCAGATTGAGAACTGGAGAAGTTGGTAGCCCAGAAAGGCCAACGAGCTTAGACTGAAAAAAAAAAAAAGGGGGGGTGGGGGGTTGGAAAACAAACAAGACCATTCTCTCCAGTATTTAAAGGTATAGGAAAGGTGTAGCTTAGTGAAACAGAAAACTTTTACAATTGTAGCCTCACTTCCATCATCAGCAAAGGCTAAGTGGAGTGCCAAGACCTCCACTTTCACCAGGCTGTAGATGTTCCAGGCTCCCGACTGAGGCTGTATAACAGAAGGCTGGGTGGGGAGCTGGCACTTTCATCCTCACCAGTTAATAGTAAGAACCTTCCTCTTCTACCCTGGGTACCCATGAAGACCATGTGGGTAGCCTAGACTCCACTCCCACCTGGTGGTAACAAGGCAACGTATCACCAGTGTCAGTGGAGGGCATAGGAGGAGCAGCCATGAGGCTTCCACCTGCATCTGGCAGGAAGAAGGCATCCTCCCTTCCTACGAAGGATTGAGTGGTGTCAGATGACTGTTAAAATACAAAATTTAAATAAGAGCCACAGCCTTTTAAATATAATACCCAAAATGTCCAGATGTCATCATCATACTAAGAACCGGGAAGATCTCAACTTGAATGAGAAGACAATCAACAGATGCTAAACACTGAGGTGACAGAGATGTTAGGATTATCAAGGATTTAAGCAGCCATGAAAAGCTGCTTCAGTGAGCAATCACAAATATGCTTGAGACAAATGAAAACGCGGGTCTCCACAAAGAAACACAAGATACAAAGAACAAAATGGAAAGTTTTGAACTAAAAACACAACAGCAGAAACAGTGAACTTAAGGATACAATACTAGAAATTACCCAATCTGAACAAGAGAAAAAAAAAGACTGAAAAAATAAATACAGCCTTAGGTATGCATCAGACTACAACAAAAAGATCTAACATCGGGTCCCTGGAGTCCTAGAAGAAAAGGAGAATGAAGGTGGAGCGAAATTTTTGTAAAAAGAAATAATGGCTGAAAATTTCCTAAATTTGGGAAAAAAGCATAAAACTCTAAGTCTCAGATACTGAGTGAACCCCAAACAGGATAAACCCAAAGATATCCATGCCAAGACACATCACAAACTTCTAAAAACTAATGACAAAGAAGAGTTATGAAAGCAGTTAAGAGAGAAATGATGCAGGAAATGTACTGATTTTTAGCATTAGGGAAATAGGCTGGTTACATTAAAACTACAGAGAATAGAAATATAAGTATTGGCAAGGACCTTAAATTCTTCACTTGATTTCAACTATTTTTAACTCAACTCAGTGAGCTAACATGCACAGAGCATTTACTAGATATCTACAAATTGTGCTGGGCATCAGAATATTTGCTAATCCCATTCTTGCTGTAACTGCTCCACAGCAGGTGTTATCCCTCATAGAAAATCAAGGAATTTTAGAATCGGAAAGATCCTGGATGGGCTTCAGCTCTGAAACGAATCTAAAAATGTCAGCATGCATGGGAATTTTCCTAGAGAAAAAGATGATAGCCTTCATCAGATTCTCAAAGGAACTGGTGGCCTAAAAAGGTTAAGAGCCACCATAAGGGTTCTGTTCTTTTCAAGCAAAGCCATATAATCCAACCTAAATAGATGAGAAATGAGGCTATTTTTAGAGGAGGTGTTCCCCATCATATCCATCAAAATTCCTGCATGCCACCTCAAGACAATTCTCTACTTTTAAGGGGAAAAGAGGGAAATGGCAGTTTTCTAATTCCTCCTAGGCACTTTTGGAAATACACGTTAACTAAAGAATGTTTGCCTGTAGTCTTATTTTGAACATTTTAAAAATAGTACCTGGAGGTGACTAAATGACTACTGCACTGGGATTTAAAATGCACTTGAGGTTTGATTTCTCCCATCCCAATGGAAAAGCTGACGTGCAAGGAAGGAGTAGCAGTCTTTCTACGTCAGCACCAATGGGCTAGTGTATAAGAGATGACAACTGTTCTGTAACTTGCATCATTCCTTTTTCCTTCTTTAAAACACAAAAAAATGCATGTACAATCAAGCTCTATTAATTACGTAATGTTTAACTGCCAATTAATTTGAATAAAGAATGTTAGTGCTTCCTCTAGCAAAAAATCAAAACAGCTGTGACAAAAACAAGTGCATTCTGTTTTCATGTCTTTATTCTGTGATCCTTCTTCACTCCTTGTACCCTTTAACCAAAACTTTCATGCAAGCCAGGTCAGCTCACGCTAGAATTGCACCATAAACAGGATTTTAGGTTGCTGGTGCCTGTTTTCGGATAAAAATTGAGGCTCCCAATGTCATCTGGAGAGCTAGAGATTGGAAAATGCATTTTAGGAAAAAATTTCACTACTTACCTCCAGTGTGACTGTAAAGTTTGATTTCCTTATACTATTTCATGCTGGCTACAACTTGAGAATCAAATGAACCACTGAGGACCCTTGTTAGCCATGGAGTTCCAGGACCCATCCCACAGCTATACAACCAGGAGAAAGACCAGGAAATCGAAAAGTCTTATCATGTGCTTGGAATGATTCTTGGGTTCAAGCAAGTTGGCAGTCTTCTTAAATCCCTAACGTGCCATACAAATTAACTTGGGCTTTGGAAACAAATGCTGTTCCTGATCCAATTGGTCTGGGTGGGGCCTGAGATTCTGCATTTCTAACAAGTCCTAGGTGATGTTGCTGGCTTGAAGACACTTTAAGTAGCTAGGCCAGAGAGGATATTTCATTTGGCTGGCGTGCAAATCAGTTTAGGCCATTTCATTTTCCTTCTATATTTCTAGATTTTCTATCAGGGGCTTCTCTGACCTTAATGCTGCCCAGTTCTCATTTGTCACTGATTATGTCTCTTCAAGCTACCGCAATCAGTTAACACAAGGCATCCTCCCCTTCTCCACTTAGCTCGTACAAAAATCCGCAATGGATACAAACAGCCCCAAATAAGAAATGGACACGACACATTAACTTACAACATAATGGGTTTATATTTAATATAGTACTTCTCATCAGGAGGATGTTACTCGGTTAATATAAAGTTTTTTTTCAAAACATTAAATCTTTTCCATGTCAATGTCTATAGTTTTTTTTTTTTTTTTTTTTA